GTGTGTGTGTGTGTGTGTGTGTGTGTGTGTGTGTGTGTGTGTGTATGTATGTGCGCATGTGAGTGAGTGAGACACAGACAGGGAGTGCTATTTTTGCTTAAGAGACGTGGTTCACTAAGGTTTGTTTTGTTGGATTACTTGGAAATGGTATAGAGAGAGTTAGGGCAGGTTTGAACACAGATTGATTTCTTTAAATGAAAAACAAAAAAAAATTATGTGATGCAAGAAATGGCAATCGTGAACTGTTGAGTCTTGTTATCCCAGCAATGTAGCTGCCCTCCCTCGTGGATGTGTTTGGGTTTGTTCTATCGTTTCACCTTCCACCTATTTACCAAATAGTTGTTTATTTCTAGTGGTTGGGTCTAATGTCATTGTTTGAAGAGTGGCCCATCTGACGCTCTAATAAAAGACTGGTGCTGACTGAAACCTTAAGAATCAAATACAAAACACGGCATATGGTGGACTGGCACACCACCAGCAGCCGTGCAGCTGCTTTTGTTATTTGACCTGCTGAAGTGGTTAAAGTAGGAACAACGCCAGCTGTCAGTTAAGGCAGTGCAACATGTATTTCAGGTGTACTGAGCCATTATCCAGGAAGATCAGCTCAGAGCAGCAATCCAGTTGAGCAGTTGGTTCCTGCATTGTCTGCCTTGTTTACCCTGAGGGCCTAAATCATGTTCAAAACAAACGCCTGATCTTTTTTTTTTTTTTTGCCTCTGAGTCTATGGTGGGGCTTTTCCTTCCTTTCAAAGGCCTTAAGAAGATAATTTATCTTGTGCACACTCGCACTAAAACCCCTTAGTGCCTCTCTGATGTATACACAGCTGAAGCACTCAGAACACCTGTCTGTGTCAAATCAAACCCTCAAAGAATCATAAGAAAGACATACATTCTGCTTAGGGAATTGATTTTTTTTTTCACGGCATACCTTTTATCATCCAAAACTGACAGCTTTTTTTCCCTAGAAATACGGCTGAAATCTTGTTAGTCACTTCGATTCACCCTAGCTTGGTGCTTTTGTTATCATTTGAACTTTACTTTAAAGATAAGTTAAGCTGGAAGTCACAACTGTACTTATGTCGTAGCACAAATGTCCTTTTAAGAGGATATCTTATCTTGGCACGTGTTTGTGTGGATTTGTTTTTTTTTKKTTTTTTTTTAAGTCACTMCATTTATGTTTTTGTCAATCACTCTTAAAAACGTCGTGTTTTGTATTTCTTTAGTTGGGGTTTTATTAGCCATTTTCATTACAGTTGGTTTTTCCCCATCTTGTTCTCCACACAGGTCGACCGGCTACTCTGAGGTGATTGTGGTGGTTGGTGGGTGTGAGCGGTTGGGGGGCTTCAACCTGCCCTACACTGAATGCTACGATCCAGTCACAGGAGAATGGAAATCACTGGCAAAGTTACCTGAATTCACCAAGTCGGAGTACGCCGTTTGTGCCCTGCGCAATGATATCCTGGTATCCGGTAAGATCCTAAATGATTCGTAACAAACTCGAGACTTAAAGTTATTGCAACCCGTGCTGCCATTTGGCTCTCACATGCTGGTAACATGTTTAACTTGACACAAATAAGAGAATACCAATTTACCCAATATCAGGATTTATTTTTTCTTTTTGATATTTAAAACTGTAGTCTTGTGTGCAAACAAATTATTTGTCATCACATTTTTTTTGTCTAAAATTCTGTTTAGTTTTATTCTTTTAAGATTGTATTGCTTTCAAAAATCATTAACAAAAATTTTCGGATGTTTCTGTGGCATAATACGTACAATTTTTGTTTTTTGCTTTAGCCTTTTCCTTTTTCAGTTTAATACGGAAAAATTGAGAGCAACATCTGGATGCCCTTTCTGTTTTCAGTGATATGCCCTCATTGCCCAACTTAGTCATTCTTTCTTTTCCCATTGGTCAATCACTGATGTCATTATTTTCTCAGTTCAACAACTTTCACTGAAAATCGTTTATTTGCAAAGCTCTATCAACACTTTAAACCCTGCAGTGGACTTTGTTACAAAAAGTATCTTTACAGTTTTCTAGTCAGCCTGCAGCATTTTATTGTCAAAAATAGTAACAGCCTCCTTCAGAGAAAAGAAAGAGGCAAGGATTAAACAAGATGTTCTTGTTATTCCAATAGTTTTGAACAGCAAAGAGTTTGAGTTTTTCTTGTTTTGTTTGTAATTGTTATTTTTTAAAATGCAACAACAAGACATTTGTCAATACTTCATTAGGATTGTTCACGTCTAAACTTGCTTTGTAAAAGTTGCACAACGTTAAGGAACAAAAACAGATAAAGTTGGAGGGGAAAAAAACAGGAAGTTATTCCCCTCAGCATAGAGTGTGCCGTTTTCTTTCAATGTGCCAGCTCCTCACGTGTGAGCTATCCATCTACTCGCACACACACTGCCTGAAAACACACACCTCCCCCACGCTGCTACGCCTCACACACAGTCAGTGCACGAGTTATGATTTTACTGCCCTACTTTTTTTTGCTTGTTTTCTGTTAGTTACATTTGTGACCGTTAATCTGCTTTTCTTATCTGTACCTTTTTTTTTATGCTGTCCTGTCTTTATTACATTCCTGAACGTATGTCTGTCCATTTGTCTCTGGTGCAAACAACTTGACTCCAGCATGTTCTGATGTATTTTAGTTAGCGGTGGTCCTAAATAGCTTGTGGCACGATGGGGTGAACAAAACATCTTTTGTTTCCTCGTTCTTCGACGAGCAGCCAAATCATTACCAAAACATTTTGATCAGCAATGCTTTAGACATTTTGTTTAACAATATCCAGCTAAGCACATTTGRTGACTTCATTCAAAATAACAAGCTGACTCCAAAATAGCTAAAAATAGCTAATTCTTGTGCAATCCTTAAATTCTCAGTATCACATGAAGCATACTGGGAACTTCTAGTAGTGGATAGATTTAGTTTTTTAGCACTATCTATCCAAATTCCTTTGCCTCTTTCAAGTAGTAAATCCTTCATCTACAAGTTGTAAATGCAGAAATCTTTAACAACGGAAGCCTCAAGGGCAGCAGACAGTCTGGATTTTTGAATATCTTGCAGACTATTGAGCAGACACCAATTCAACCAACTTCCCAAACAAGTTTTTTTTTTTGTCTAGCATAGTTGCAAATGATTGAATAATGATCACACTGTTATTTCAAAATTATATAAAAAATTCTTGATTTACTCGTTCTTATTATCTTGGAGGGTGTGGGAAAGTTGTGGTGGGTTATCTGCATCACTAATCAGTCCTTATTGGTTGCAAAATGGTTGTAATTTGCTGAGAATTAATCACTTTTTTTTTTACTTTCAGTAACTTGTTTTTACCCTAGCAGGTCTTTACAGTTCTCTACTTCATTTACCAACCCTTACGTGTTGCTGTATAAAAAGAGACAAACCGTCATTCCAGATCCTTCTGTTACAAAATAATAGATATTACTTTTAAAAAATCATTATGATTTTCTTAAAATATGAAATACCTTATTTTAGCTTAAAAAAAACTGCTCCTCTATTTGTATTTGTATGTCTGGTGGTGAGGGGTTATATGTTAGGGTTGAACTAGGTCCCAGTGACAAAATGGAATAACAATTCTTGTTCTTTTAGACTTAAAAAAACTGTAATTAAGCTGTTACTGTATTTGCTTTAAATATTACTTTAAAAGGATGAATATTGAACTCACTTCCATGTATTCTTGATAGGATGTGTGACCCATCACATCGAAATAAGGATTAAGTTGCAAGTAGTGTAGTGAGAAAATAGGAAGCTGTAATGCATTGGTTGAGAAAAATGTTACAATTTGATGTTGTCAAAATACTCCATGGAGGAAGTTGGAGTGAGGCCAGAGAATGACTCACTGTGATGACATCTGAAGAGGAAAAAATAAGAAAGATGTTGTCAAAAAGGCACTGAATAAATATCTATGGGTCCCTTGAAGGAAATGTTTAAAATATAATTCTAAGGAAAGTTTTGAAGCACTTTGCGAAGCAAAGCTCCACATTTGTGGTACTTTCCACGTGGGCTAGCGCAACCACTTTCACTCTTGATATGCACGTGATGTCAAGCCAATTTTCAAGGGGTCTTACCGATTAGCAGGCCAAGTCAAGCCATATCTCTGGAACTGCTCAGGATATCAAGATCAAGTATCAAAATGCAGCTTAAACCCTGAAATCTAAGAACTTTCTTAGATTATTTTAACCAAATCAAACGTAATCCTTGGTTTGATGTAATGGRTCACATTYATATTTAGAGGTGTACATTTAACRTACGATCTGAGCATGTTCATATGAGCAAACATCTTATGAATCCTTTTTTCCCCTCCTTGTTTTGTCTATTTATCTCTTCAAAAACGCAACTCAGTACAAAGTTAGATATACAGATCTTCCATGGTTCAAAGACAAAACATGACTTGCATAAACACGTGGTCTTGAAGTTGGATGTCCTACAACAACTTCACCATTGCTACATTGCTGATAGAAGTGTCAGAATTAAAAATACTTCGTGTTTCTGTGCCTTCAGGAGGTCGCATCAACAGCAGGGACGTGTGGATGTACAACTCCCAGCTCAACCTGTGGCTGAGAGTGGCTCCTCTTGTCAAAGGCCGCTGGAGACACAAGATGTGCGTCCTGCTGGGCAAGGTAATGAGAACATTTTGCTCTCAGTTGAAAATATATACAGTGTGTATGTGTGTGTGTATGTATGTATG